GTGATAGGCTACAATTAGTTTAAAACATTTCCTGAACATCTACATAACAGTAGGAGAAAGCCCTGGGACTAGGAAATAAGCCAGTCACCTTGATATTTCAAATGCACCATGCTTAATATCCTTACCTGTGCCTGATTGAACGAGACCTGGGGGAAGAAGGAAGGACGCAAAGGGAACAGAGGTTGGGAATTTCTTGGATGGAGCCCAAATCCCCTGGAGAGTTGTCAGAATTATGAAGTTACACTCCTTTCTAAGGTCCCTTAGAGCTCCAACTTCAATGATCCTGTGCCCTGAGAGAACGTTGTCCATATTGTTGAATTATGACACCATTTTTTTCTGATCAGATTTTTGGAAGACAGAGAAACGTGGGACATATTCCGTCAATTCTTGTGGGGCCCAGCCTTCTTAATCAGCCCTGTCCTGGAACCTGTGAGTATGGGTTCTCCTGTGCCTATTCAGGATCTAAATTGAAATATAATATTGATTAGCAGAAATGGGTCTGAGTGTGGCCTTCTGCGTGGTAGGGTCTGGTCCTTGTGTTGGCATTGAATTGTTCTGCAGCTTTAAATCATTCTCAATGCTTCAATTTCCTTATCTGTAAAATGCATGATACTCCCACCTACCCTCAAGTCATGGCGTCATTGGAAGACAATCAAGACAAGATAAGTCCATAATGTGTTTGCTTTTGAATACTCTTAAATGTAGTGATTATTAGTCATGTTAATCCCTCTAGGAAATTTTGATCAATTTGTCCATGTATTTATTCCATTAAAAAAACACAACTATCTAATTTATTGTAGAATGCCTGGAATGTGACTGCCTACTTCCCCAATGCCAGCTGGTATGATTATTACACAGTAAGTGTCTTTGATGGGACATAGGAACTCATGCTCCCTCCGTTCCAAATAGTGTGAAAGTTCTGGGTGTGTAATGGAATGCTGGTGGCCAACGTATCCAGTCCTGGAATATTATGAGGATCTCTGTAAGGTTTGCCCCATTCAGCTCTTGGATCGTTGACCCTATTATACTCATCATTAATATTCTTTCAAGTTTTCCTGATCTTAAGTTTAGGTGGCTGGGGCTGACCCAAAGGCAGCTGCCTTCTAAGCACTTTGCACAATACTGAAGGAGATATTGTGAGCTGAGTGCAGTGATTATATCCCATTGAGAAGGGAAACTCTGAAAATGGTCTGAGCCCTTTTAGCTAAGTGGGTCTAGAAATATTAAGCTAGTTTTGGTCAGGTTAGGGCTTCTTTCCTGAATGTAACCACTTTTGACCTATTGCATAGTCTCTGACATATAGTATGTGCCAAATGAATGTTTATTGAGTGATATGACCTTTGTTGCCTCGTCTGTTAATGAGGAAATGAAAAGAGATGGCTTTTAAGGTCCCTTTCAGTCATCCCAGACTGAGAATATTCTCAGAGACTTCAAAGGCATTTTTAATGCTTCAATTAATTTAAAATTAGAATTTATTTTAATTTAATTAATTTAAAGATTCTCTAATGCTGCTTTGTAAATTTTCTATGAAGACTAAGTCCCCATAGGCAAGGGGGAACAATTGTTCCTACTTTCTCCTCCCCCAATGTACTTGATAACCCTGAGTTTTCCTTGAGGAAGAGGCTCAATCTTGATTAGATCCTAAGATCTCCTTTAGCTTGTTCTAGGTATGCAGTCTTTATAAGCTTTTCTCAAGGTGACCTTTTCAAAAGAAGAAATCCAATATCTTTGTCCCATCTTTATCTTCTGTCCTTCCTGGGCACTTAGTTTAGTGAATTGCTTGAGTACCCACCATATTCAAATTCTATAGCGATTTCTGCGGTTGTCCATGTAGAAGTCTGAGGGAGGGTCCCGGCTCAGAGGGAACTCCTAGCTTGAGTTAGAGAGATAGGCTAGGGCTAGTCCCACCGTGAACCTGTACTAAGGAAGACAAGAAAGATCTGTGAAGTACTGTGGTACTTTTGAAGGCTGAAGTGGGCTTTGCTGAACATTGGGTGTAAATTAAAAAGATTTCTTTGAAGAAAGGCAACATTTGATTCAAAATGGAACAAAAGGTTGGAAGGAATAATGCAGAGAGGCCTCAGAAGGATGGATAAGTGAATAAAGATAGTCAAGAAGGGGCAGCTAGGTGGCTAAGTGGATAGAGCTCCAGCCTTGGAGTCAGGAGGATCTGAGTTCATTAGACACTTGATACTTACTAGCTGTGTAACTTTGGGCAAGTCACTTAACCCTGATTGCCCCACCAAAAAAAGCAAAAAAAAAAAAAAATATGGTCAAGAAGTGAGAGGCCATGGTGGGGGACCAAAGGCAGAAACACCTCTTCTCCTCTAAGTTACTCAGCTAGGGTGAGGTGAAGGACTCATTTTTCTCCTGCTCTTCCTCTCAATCATAGGGCTCAGACATTGGAGTGAGGGGACAGTGGAAGAACCTGCCAGCTCCTCTTGACCATATCAATCTACATATCCGTGGGGGCTACATCCTTCCATGGCAAAAACCTGCAAATAACACCCACTATAGGTGAGTGAAGGGAGCAACATCCTTCTTCCTTTTCCAGTGCTTTACTCAGACCCTATTAACTGTCTTCTTTGTCCTTTTCTTGAAAAGTAGTGGATAGAGTCCTGGAGTTGGAGTCAAAAAGACTTGGGTTTGAATTGACTTGTAGCTGTGGGACTTTGGGAAAGTCCCACGAACTTGGAGGGCTTCAGGCCTCTCCTTATACTTACACTTCCTACCTCACTGGAATTATTTTGAGAATGCCAAAAACAATCTAAATCCTAAGAGGTTGCGTAAATGTGAATCATTATCATTTCTTCTGTTGTTTTGTTGTTTTTTTTTGTTTGTTTGTTTTTTCCCTTGCTCCTTACCAAGAGCATCATAAGGATCAGGCTAATTGTGTTGTTTATACAGGAGCTTTCTGGGCATCCTGCATTTTCACTGGCTGTGTCCTCTATGCCTGGAGTGCTCTCCCTCCTCACCTCTGCCTCTTGGCATTTTTTGCCTCCGTGGGACTATGAGCTCCCTGGGAGCAGAGACTTTCTTTTGAAATCCTTTGCACCCTCAGCCCTGAGCAAATGCCTGACTATTGATTAATATATTATGTGAATGCAAGCGCATTGTGATATATTTTATGGGAATACTTCACTATCTACTCCATGACAGATGAAATACAATGAGCCTATCTTGAAAATACAGTTTAAACAATTTGGAAGGCCATGATTCATATTCATTTCTGCTCAATGTATTTCAAGAATCATGGGAAAAACCCTAAAACATAAGTATCCTTTTAAGAGGCATCAGGGATAATCTTTCCACTTTCATGGCCTCTACTCTGATTCAGACCTTTATTACCAATCTCCCAGACTATTACAGTGTCCTCCTTATTGGCCTTCTTGCATCCAGCCTCTCCCCTGTCCAAACCATTCTCTACTTTGTGGCCCAATTGAGAGAACTAAAGTATAATTCTGAGGCCCCTGATCTTGGGCCTCACTGGCTCCCTCTTCGATCAAGTATAAACTCCTCTGTATAATGTATATTCACAATATGGCTCTAGCTTATCTTTCTAAGCTGCTTCCCCATTATTCAACCTCACACACTCTGTATTAACTCAACTGACCTTTTTGTCCACATCCGGATAGTCCATCACACACCTCAGTGGTGGCTTAGTATATAGTCTGTCCCACTTGCCTGGAATGCTTTCTTTTTTTATCTTTACTTCTTGGAACCCCTTAGTTTCCCTCATGGCTCATCTGAAGGTCAACCTCCTATGTAGAGTCTTTCCTGAATTCTGCAATACTTGGTGTTTCAACCCCTTCCCCACAGCCGGCTGAAAGTGTTATGTTTATTTTATATTTACTTATCTGTAAGTATACTACAGTATAATATATGCTGTCATTCCCTCTACCCATCAGGATCTAAGTTCCTTGAATAAAGGAATCATTGCCTTTTTTTCTTTCTTTGAACATCTAGTCACTAACACAGTGACTATTCATAATAGTTGTTTAAGAAAGGCTTGGCAAATAACTTGTCAAGAGAAGGTGGAGGACTGATCATAATTTCTGATGTTTATAGCCGGAAAAATTCCCTGGGACTTATTGTGGCTTTATCTGACAATGGGACAGCCGAAGGAGAGTTTTTCTGGGATGATGGACAGAGTATTGGTAAGTTCTGTTTTCTTAAGTTCAATAGACACCTCTCTCTCTTTCTCTCTGCCTCCTCATTTCCTCTCCTTCATTCTATCCCTCTCTTTCCTCTCATTATTCCTCATCTCCCCAAACCTTTTCCTCTGTCTCTTTCACTAACCTTTTCTTCTGTCCCGTTTCTCTTCTTTTATTTCCTCCTCCTCCTCTATTCTTCTCCTTCTTCCTTCTTCACTTCTTCCCTGTCTCCCTCTTTCATTTCCTCCCTCTCTCCTTCTCTTGTTCCCTCATACCATATCTCTCTCTTCACCTCCCTTGCCCTCTCCATCCCTTGCTCCTTCCTCCTTCGTCTCCCTCTTTCATATTGTCTCTTGACTATGATGTAGCTCTTAAAGGTATTTGGAGGATAGAAAAAGTTGTTGGAAATAAACAGTCCCAGAAAATAAGCCTGCTTTATAAAGTAACAGTTCATCCTATCCAGCATTTGACTAGATACCTTTCCTTGGGAATCAGGAGGACCTGAGTGCAATTTCTACTTTGGACAACCACTGAATGCAGGATCCTAAACAAATCACTTAACCTTTAAGTATCCCAGGCAACTCTCCAACACTTTAAGTTGAAAAGAATGTGCCAGTCTTCACTGGTAGAAGAAGGTCCTAACCAGGAGCTCCATAAACTAATGGAAGCTCAGGCCCACCCTGCTCTCTCTTATTCAGATTTCTAATGATAAGAATTGGAGCCTGTGAATGTGAAAATTAAGGATAAATATGAAAATTAACAATTACAATTTTCTTTTCAGTCACTGACTGCAGTGACTCCAATTGTCTCTGAGCAATGATACACTTGAATGGAGCAAAGAATGGCAATTTCAGTTTTTCCTGTCTTCATGGTCTTAACATTTTACAAATATGAATAATTCATTTCAAATCAATGCCTGTTCTCTAGTATTTTCACACAATTTCAAGAGCTTTAGAATTCTGAGAACCTTTCATGGCACAATGTGTGAGGTGTTGTGTAGTTCTATTGTATTGTGTAAATGTGAGTGTCTTAAGAACACTTGGGGTGGAAGAAGCAGGAAGGCCAAGTGCTTCAAAGGTAGCAAAAAGGCTGTAGTGGGTGTCTTGTATCTCAGGCTGGCCTTGGTAGTTCCTAGTAGAATTCACTCTGTTTTCTTGTTGCAGATACTTATGAAAGGGGGAATTACTATTTCTCAACCTTCTCTGCCAGTCAGGTGAGTATTACTGGTGCCTTTGACTACTTGTTCATTTCCTCAGCACAATTAGTGGCACTGACAGCTGATAAAAATACTATGAAGTAAGGTCTACCTTTTGATAACACTTCTGTGAGCCATGATGTAGGGCCATGACCCATCCTTTTGTCCAAAGCATACAATGACAACTTCCCAAAGAGCTGATTAGAGCATATCATCAACTCAAATTAGAGTTGAGGAAGGACTTCTCAGTAACTTCATCCTAAAGGAGAAGACATGATCCAGTACACCTGGAAGGAGAAAGAACCAGTTGCCATCCCCAATTCCTCCACTCTCGGTCCTCTTTCCCTAACCCTGTCAAGTCATATATTACATCACTTACCTCTTCATTCACTAGACTCTTTTTTCTTCCTCCAATACTTTTTTTTTGTTAGAAAATTTAAACATTTTCCTTGCCCCAGTCTTGTAAGACTTCTCCTATTTTCCATGATCTTTCAGGTATCACTGATGGTAGCTCAGTAATCACTTCTTCTGGTTCTTTGAGGCCCCAGTGATAGAGTTTATCTAGGCCACGTGACTTGAATTCATTAAAGGCTCCTAGGTGTTTTCCACCTGTCACCTTCCTTGTCTTTGGTATTAACCCAGAGTTAGTCATTTGTGTTCTGACACTTCCGGTTAAGTCAAATGCTTTATCCTTTTTTTGACTTTCCCTTTTCTCTCAACATATCTTAAAAGCCAAACAAGATCATTTTTGTTGTCCTCAGATTCTTTTGCCAGCCTCAGCTATATCAGTCCTGATGCTATTTTTACAGAATCATGCTATGTTTTTTATTCATCTTCTCTTACTTTGATCTTCCATACATTTCTTTTCAAAATCTAAGTTGATTGGATAGTTTGCCATGTATCCATATTAGTCTTTTCAGATAAATCCCATTTTTCTTTTTCACTAGAATTATTTCCTTTTAAATCTTCAGAATTTCCTTCTTGACCATCTTCCATCCTTCCTTGGCTGATTTTCTTGAAAGCAATTTAGGAAAGTCAACAGGAAAAAGCATTTACATAGCACCTATGTGCCAGGCACTGCGCTAAGCTCTTTTTGAACCAGTGTCATCTCATTTGATCCTGAACATAACCTTAAGAAGTAGGTGCTGTCATTATCCCCATTTTAGAGTTGAGGAAACTGAGGGAAAGAGAGATTAAGTTTCTTGCTGAAAATCATACAGCTAATTAACTAGTTCCATCATTGCAATATGAATATCATTCTGAGACACCATTTCTTAATTGGCTGTTCAATTCCCAAATTAATTTTTCCCTTCCATAATCCCTGCCTTCACTGGGCAACAATGAGGAGAATACAACTTGTGCCCTCATGAAATTCAGTTTATTTCCCAAGATTTCATGATCATTGACAATACTTTTTAGGTTCTTTCAGGAAGTATCATTGTCGTGGTCACTTGTGACTCACAGATGCAGTTGACATTATATCTCTAGCTCCTACCCTGTAAAGTTTCCTAAAGTCAGAAGTCCTAAGCACTCTGATTCTTTTCGATAGACATCTATAATTCAAGCAGTCCTGTGTAAAAGCATCCTGAGGTCTGGAATGTAGTACATTCTCCTTTTTTTTGCAAAAGTTAGTTCACCTTTAAATAAAAATTTCTGTTAATTTGAGAATCTTCTCAAGCTCCCAAAGGAAAATCAGAGAACATCTCATCCTGTCAAAAAATTTGCTTTAGTTCAAAGTGATGGAATTGTAATGGAGACTTTCTTTTAGACAATGACATCGTTAAGACCAGTTATGCATTTAGTGACTAAAATGTATATATTTGTATGTATGACATGTGTAAATACAAGACAGGAGCTATTAAATGAGACTGTTTAGAGAATGGTTTGTGGGCTCTATCTTGCTAGTTTTATAGTAACATTTCTAAATAGAAAGATGTGTGGACACAGAAAAACATGTATTGCATGTTATAATGGATAAGGGCCATCTGTGAAATAAGAACGATCTGACTTTTGGTTTTGCTTCCGACATATTTTAGTTGTATGGCCATTGACAAGTTATTTAACCTTTCCGTGCCCCAGAGAACTCTTTATGACTGAAAGTTACAGATGAGTTGCTGACCTGGTATAGTTTTCACAGCTGATGTTTTCTAAACCCATGAACTCACATGGCTCATTCCCTTCCACTGCTGTACAGTCTTCTTTCCTTCCTTTCTCCTCACCTGGAGTAAAACAAAGTATGCATATGTTGTAGAGAGATTCACAGACCTTGTCCTTCTGTAGTGACATAAATTTCTATTGGTTTCTTGGTTTGGTTGGACAGAGAAGTTGGATAGAACCAAGACATCACTCAGGAAGCTCATACTTGTACTAAGTAAATGTCTTGGGTTGGTTGCACAGAGAAGTTGGACAGACCTGGACTCATCACTCAGAAAGCTCATACTTCTACAGAGTCAATGTCTAAAGATTCTAGAGAGTGTGCCAGGAACCAAAATCAAATATGGCTGTGTCAAGCCACCAGGGGAACTTATTCCTTGACTTCATGTCAACCACGCTAATGAGCTTACTCATTATTGGTTGGAGAAGAGAAGGATCATGATAGCCTCCATTCTAACACAGCAAGGAATTCCAGTCTTTCCAGCCATCTCCCTGATGGAGCTGCTACTAGTTAGATTTGAAGCAGGAGACACTAGCCATGAGTTAGGACTATTATTCTGCCTCAATCCTAATATGATCTCTTCCTCCAACTGCCAGAGCAGGTAAAATGGGATAATAGCATCTTTGTCTTTTGGGTATCTTGGAGAAGGTAATTGTTACAGAGTTGGAAGTAGGGCAAGATAACATGGGCACTGTCTTTGGATGTCTTTTAGAATCGCCTAGATGTGAAGGTTACGCACATGAACTACAGTGATCCAGATGGCCTAGCATTTGAAGAGATCAAAATCTTTGGGTTGAAACTCAAACCAGCTATAATTTTTGTGACAGAAAATAACATTCCAGTCCAATCTAATGCTGAGATCAAGTATGATCCTGCAACAAAGGTAAATGTTTCCTGAATCATTCTCATTTATTGGACATTTAAGGCAATTAAGTATTCTGCATAACTAGGTTTTCCTGTTTCACACCTTTAAGCATCATCACCCTCTTTATTTTACGTTTTAATTGATGTTTACACAGGAATCTTACTGAAGTTAATTTTAGACATCCTTTGTATACAGAGGATGTCATAGATAATTTAAGATTTTCCTGATTCCTCAAGGTCCCTTTATCCTCTAGGTATAAGTATAGATTTGGAATAAACATGTAGATGTTAGAGGATTTACAACTGAGTGGGCATTAACTTCTTGATTGCCTTCTTGTAAAACAAAACAGTCTCTGTCAAGTACCAAAGTATTACTTTTTCCTCCAAAAATGTCCACAAGCAAATGTCAGCTTACTTTTTCTCCATTTGCCCTTTCGTATGGCTGCTTTTACTTTACATTAATTATTGAATGAAAGGTCAAAATAGCCTTTCTCATGTGTGAAAACCCCAGAAACATGAGACCCACCAGAAATCCTTTTTCTTCACTATTCACTAATAATGATCTCTGTTGACATTAGCAGTGTTAAAGGTAGTATTATTTTTCAATCCCCCAACTGAGGTTACATGTTTGTTTCTTTTTTTTTTATTTTATTTTTAATTAGCAATTGGGGTTAAGTGACTGGTCCAGGGTCACACAGCTAGTAAGTGTCAAGTGTTTGGTCTGAGGCCAGATTTGAACTCAGGTCTTCCTGACTTCAGGGTCGGTGCTCTATCCACTGCGCCACCTAGTGCCCCTACACATTCATTTTCACTTTTCCATTCACTCTTTTGTCTCACTTGCATTGTACTTTAAAGCTGTGTGAACCAGGAATATCCCTCATCATTATACAAATTTGTGGAATGTTCTTTGGAACATTGCTCCTGACAATGCTTTACAAATCCTTTATCACTGTGACAAGATTTCTTCAGAGATGACCTCAAGTGGTTATGTTTTGAAAATCTTCTGACCCCTTGAGATTCCTTTGATGGGCTTCTCAAGTTTTTAATAGGGTCCTCTCCAGATAAAATAGATTTTGAGACAAAAGAATAGCTGGGCTTCCCCTGAGAATGATTAGAACTCCTCCTAATAGCAGCAGGGTAATAGTGGAAGCCTGTCCTTACTGTCTGATTCAAAAGATAACATGTTATTCAATGGATTCTATGAAAGGGCCACAATTATTTTGCTCATTAATTCTCACTGTTCTGTCTAGCCTTCTTAAACAATCTAGCTTTGAAGTAATATCTAAATTTAGAGTAACAGAATCAGAGTTTGAAAAGTAGAAGAATTTAGAGATCCTTTTGTCCAGTTCCTTGTTTATGCAGGAGTGGTTGAGTGAATGATTCATTTTTTTTCAATATAAAGTCAGCTCTTTTCCAAAGAAAGTTTGCTCTGTTATTTTTTTTCATGAAATAAGATATCAGTTACGTGATCGTAGCAGTTTTTAGTTATGATGGGAGAAGGAAGGAAAGGAAAAGCACCAGGAGATTCCATCATAATGGTGATGAAGAGGACCAGTTTTGTTTGTGGTCAAAAGAAAGAGTGATGATTGAAATGGTGACTCTCACTGACTTGCAATATCCTTTCTGATTTGACAGGTCATTGACATCACAGGGCTTCACCTTGAACTGGGCAAGGAATACACAGTGGAATGGTACCCTTACTTCATAGATAAAGAAAAATTTGACTGCTACCCTGATGAAGATGGTGTCAGTGAAGAAAAGTGTCTTTTGCGTGACTGTGTCTGGGAGGTAAGATTTAACACATACAAATACACATGCATACTTACAAAGACTATCAGCTTCTCCCTCTATCCTTTACTTCAAATTTATCATAATAATATGTCCTCCCCGATTTTAATGAGATTAGCTAAGATAAAGAAGGTTAGGCTGAGTTGAGAAGCAAGTCTCTGCTGGGAGAACCAGGAAAGGAACAACCTTGGCAAAGATAGTTCAGTCTTTCCCTGGAAGCTGCTTAAGTACCCCATATGTCTCAATTGTAAGGAAGTTTATCTGTGTGGAAATACTAAGGAGGCAACTAGATAGTACAAAGCAAGTGAGCATCTCTGTAACGTTTTTTTGGTTTGTATATACTTCAAGTTTAGCTAATTAGGTAAGGGTGTAAATGAGGGTAGGGGTTTTTAGTTTTACAAGAACTTATGAAGTCAAGAAAGCTTCACTATCTCTGGGCATATGTGAAATTGGAAGATCTATTCTCCATGCCCAACAAACCCATGGCACTCTAATAGTATGTTGAAATTCACAAGAAAATAGCTGTATACTTTGCTGAATTATCTCCTCTGTGGAATCATGCTCAGGAGTAAATTGTATAGCTTCTGTGACTCATTGTAAGTCTAAGTCATGCCCTTGAGTGGGCACATCCCTGGGATATCAGAGCATTCAGAAAAATGTAAAATACTGAAATGTTACTCACAAATTTCCTTGTGGTCCAGGAATGTATGAAGAATTTTGACTCTTGGTTTTCCCCTCTTATCAGTCTCCTTTGGGGTTCAGAATTAGAAAAGCAGGGGGGACAGACTTCTCTGAGAAGTGGGTGGGAAATGTGGAGGAGAGAAGAAGCCAAAAGAAGACCATGGAAAGAAAGTCACTATGGTGTAATTGAATAAGCATTGGGCCTGGAATCAGAAAAGACCTGCTTCACATCCCAGCTCTGACGTTTACCAGGTCTGGGTTGGGAAAGTCCAATAATGCCTCTTAGCCTCATTTTCCTAATCTGTAAAAGGAGGATAAGAAATCCTGTTACACATATCTCACATGGTAGTTAGCAGGATTAAAGGAGTTATGAATGAAAAACTTTGAAAACTTTTATGAAATACATAAATTATTGTAGTTAATTTTGTTTCTATGGGAAAACAACCTTTCAGGCAAATTTCTACAGTCTCAATGCGCTGACAAAACAATGCATGTCAGGCACTAAAGAAGCTTTTATTAAATGTTTGATAGGTGCATGGCACTGTGCTAATCATCAGGGATACAAAGAAAGGAGGAAAAAAGTCTTTGCCTTCATGATGGTCACATTCCAATTGAGGACACAATAATTAGGTGGAAGGCAATTTAAATGGAAATGCTGTAACTACTTGGCAGAGGTGAGGGGGTAACTGGAAAAAGCCTGCCACAGAAGGTGGACCAAGAGTCAAGTAGAGGGACAGAGGATTGCAGGTGTGGAAGACAGATTAGAGGCATGGAGATGGGATGGAGATGACTGTGATATTAAAGGAACCTCAGTCATGTCATTATAGCTGGATCTTATGGTATTTGAGGAGTAAAGTATAAGTAGACTAGAAATGTAGGAAGAGACTAGGATGTAGAAGGCCTTTAGATAGCAAGAGAAGATGTTATATTTGATCCTAGAGGTAGTAGGGAACCACTGGATTTTAGTGTGAAGTTGGGTGACATGCACAGAGTGATGCTGTAGGAAAGTCACTTTGGCTCCTAATTGGAGAATGTGTTCAAATATAAAGAAAGTTAGGTCAGGGAAACAAAATAGAAGGATATTTCAGGGCAGCTAGATGGCACAGTATATAGAGCAGAGACTTGGACTCAGGAAGATCTGAGTTAAAACCCAGGCTAGGATACTTACTAGCTGTGTGATTCTAAGGATGTCACTTAACTCAGTTTGCCTCAGTTTCCTTATCTGAAAGTGAGCTGAAGAAGGAAATAGCACACCATTTCAGTATCTTTACCAAGAAAACCCCAAATGGGGTCATGAAGAGATGGACACAACTGAAATGACAGAACAGCAACAATAAATTTAAGAAAGAGGAAATATTCGATGTGTTGATCAGTTTTGCTGGGTTTTTTTCTTGTCCCTTTTTTCCCTCCCTTCACTGCTCCATCAAGCTTTCCAATCTTATTTCTTTCTTTCCATCTCCCTTTTCTCTCTTTCTTTTTCCTTCTCAGTTCCTCTTTCTCACTCTCCTTCTTTATCCTTCTCATCTCACTCTCTCTCTACTTTAAAAAAATTGTATTTGTTATAGCGAATGGTTCTGTGGGGGAAAGAGGGGAAATAATGGTGTTGTAAAAAAGAGATATAAATAAACTTTTAAAAAAGGATTTTATAATAGTGTGAGTACAATTTGATGAGAGTCTGTCATAGAGGTGGCTGGGTGAGCAGAGAGAATCTAGAAGAGAAATGGTAAATGGTAAAGAAAGACATCACGAGACTTGGCAACTTCTCTCTCTGGACGCACAATACAATATTGAACATAGAATAACAAAGAAATGACTGAAGAGTATGACCAATGGATAGAGGTTTTGAGTTCTCTGTAGGCACAGAAGCATGAACAAAGCAATGGCTTAAACCTCATCAAACGGCATAGATAAAAGTATTAGGAAGGATTTCCTAAGAATTGAACATTGGAACAAGAATCGAAGGGAATGATTTCAAGGTGGGGCTAGACATGACCTAGTTTTCCTCCAGTTTTGTCATTTTGATGAGTTTCAAATGTTTTTATTTTTCAGCCAGTCAGTTCCCCTGGAGTCCCTTTTTGCTACATCACAGAATATTATTATGCTGCCTCTCATGTTCAGAGTGGACCAGCAGGCCTAACAGCAACTATCTCCCGAATTCAGGGAGCCAGCCACTATCCTTCTACTCCTATAGATCAGCTTCGCTTGGAGGTGACTTTCCATACAAACAACATGCTACAGTTCAAGGTATGTTCAGCTTAGGATGCTTGTTAACAGGGAGGTTTGCAGGAATCAGCAGTATTTATTCAATCGGCAACTCTATCAGCTAGCATTTACTGAGTGGCTACTATGTGCTAGGCAGTGTGCTTAAGCTATGGGAATAAAAGGAAAAGCAAATGCAATTCCAGAGCTCTGGGACCTTACAATATAATGAGTGACGCAACTTGTTAATAAACTCATTTAGTAACTGCTTTGTGCAGGGTACTATCTTCAGTACTGTACTGGGTATGGAAATATTAGAAATCATGGTGGACATGGTATTTTTTTTCTAGCCCTGAGGGTTTAATGATACAACAATAGGCAGGGAAGAGATGATAGAACACTTGCAATAGTAATTTGACATGGAATTCCATGGTTTTATACTCCAACGAGAAATCACACATAAAACCCCATTTTTCTTGAGTGAGGCCATCTTCTTAATCTCTCCTTACCTAAATATCAGTGGGTACCTCATTCGAGAGACAGCTGAAATCTCACTTCTGCTTCATAGATCTTCTGAGAGGCAGTGTACCATAACAGATCCAACACTGGACTTGGAGTCAAGATGTCCACTTAAATCTCTTTCCTGATATTTAGTAGAAGTGTTACTATTGTGAAGCCCCTAAAGTTCAGTTTCTTTATCTGTAAAACGGGGTTGATAATCCTCATAATATTTCCTCGTTTGAATTGCAATTGACCTCCAGTGAGGTAATGTGTATAAAGAGATGTGGAAACTGAAAATTGCCCTATACTTATTATTCACTATTGTTTGTCACCACCTCACCTTTAATTTTTTCAACAGTATTCACTTGAAGTATATTAAATGCCTGCTGTATACCTTGTAGTTTGCTAGGCACTGATTAAGAGAGACAGGAGTGACATAATTTCCATTAAGGAGCTCATAATCTGTTAGTATTACATAGACCAATTAACATCCCCTGTGACCCTACCCTCATGCCCCCAAAATAAAGTTTAATATTTAAATTAGTCTTTTTTGGGGGGGGGGGCTAGACCATGGGGTTAAGTGACTTGCACCGGGTCACACAGTTAGTAAGTGTTACATGTTAGAGGCCAGATTTGAACTAAGGTCCTCCTGACTCCAGGGCCAGTGCTGTATCCACTGTGCCACCTAGCTGCCCCACCTAGCTGCCCCTAAATTAGTCTTTTGAAAGGCTAATCTCGGTAATGTATGCAGCAGAGTAAAACATCAGATTTGGAGGGATATTTTACTAAAATTATCTACCTATGGTAAAATTCATATCCTTGTTTGCTGTGTGGACACATTACAAGATCACGGATTTAGAAGTAGAAAGGACATTAAAGATTACCTGTGGAAGTCACAGATCTTTTGGCCTTAGTTTCATCTGTACAGTGAGATTTGCGTTACAGGATTTCTAACTTTACAAGAATGAATGAATGAAAGAATGAAAGGATACTTATTAAGTATTTACTGTATGCCAAGCACTGGGGCTGCAGACAAAAGTGAGACAGTTCTTACCCTCAGGGACTTACATTCTCATTGTAGTAATGTTTGATGCTCTAAATACTGTATGTTATCTAGTGAGGGTGACAAATACATTGTAGTTCATTGCAGAGCTACTACAGTGGCCTTATTGCCTTCCCATTAAAAGGAAGGGATCGATGTATACTTGAAAAGTAGAAATTGAGTGATAGTACTCCTCTTGCCACGTATGGCTTATTTCAGGAATAAAAGCTAATTGAGCCTCAGAAACCATGGAATCAGGTCAGCATTCATTTGGGAGAATCTGATTCTAAGACCACGAATGATGAGCCCTAAGTTATTTATGGAAACAATGGTTTCTGTTTCCTAGATTAATGATCCCAACAACAAAAGGTATGAAGTCCCAGTGCCCTTAAATATTCCAGTCTCCCCCATCAGCCAACCTGAAAGTCTTCTGTATGAGGTGACCATCAAGGAAAACCCATTTGGAATTGAGATCCGCCGAAAAAGCACAGGCACTGTGATGTAAGTAGTTTTCTGTTTCATATGTATGGGAATAAGTGGGCAATCCGCATTTTGACTTGACCCTGATTTCTGGAATCATAGAATGAGCTACTGGGTTTGGTCTTTGGTCACTAGTTAAAAACTAGTGACCTGGATTCAAGTCTTCAATCTTGAACAAATGCAAATACATAGTATTTCTGGGATATCATGCAAGTGACTTGATATCCCTTGCTTTAATTTCTTAATCCATAAAATGAGGTAATTGGATCAGAGAATGTACAAGGTTCCTTTTAGCTTTCAGTGTTTTGCATGACTACAGTCAAGCATTCTATGATGATGGAATATTCCTGTGGGTGGAAACTTGCATTGTCTCTTCTACTTCCTTATCCAAAATGTGTATAAATTTGTTAAAATATGTAACACCCTTTAGATCCATGCCCTACAAGGGCCAGTGAACCTGTTAGGGAGGAACCTGGATATATTTTAGGACACTCACTTTAAGTTTTTATGGACTTCTGTTTTTGTCAGTTTCTTCATCAAAAAAATTTTTTTTAACTATGTATGATATGCGTCCTTTGGAGAAAGTTAAAAAAAAAGATTTTTTTTTCATACTACCAAATATAAGATCTTGAAAAATCACTCTGCATTATTATTTCTCATGACAAAAAATGTGAAAATCATTCACCAGATATGGGGAAGACAACTGTATTATGTCCGGTATAGAATAGAGTGAGAATAAGCAGTGTACACGACCAGATGCAGGGAAGACCTAGACCATATACTCGTGGAGTTTCTTCCAAATGGAAGTATAACTTGATGAAAGACCAATCGTTTCATAACCCAGGGAGAGAAAGCCAAACTTGGAACAATTGATCCCAATAAGGTAACAACAGTAATATACAGGTTCTTCCCAGGTACCATTTTCTCGGGCCTCAACTTTACCAGAAGCTTAAATTAATTCCCCAGAGGTCCTAGTGTTTACTGCATGTTGTTAAGTTTAATCTGTTCTCAAAAGACCAATGTGAGATTCCCACAGAAAAACAGCTGGTCTACCCTAATTAAGCCGGAGAGGGGTGATGTGGGGTAGGGAAAAGCAGGAAGTGCCAAGGAAGGGAGCTGGATAGATGAGTAGATGTAATTAGATTTGAATTTGAGGGATTAGGATATTTAATAAATCAATCTATAATAGTAACAACAACAAACATTAATATAGTGCCTACTCTGTGCCAGCAATTGTGCTAAGCATTTTGCAATTCTTTTTTTCTTTTGGCCCTTACAACAACCCTTATAGGTAGGTGCTATTATTACCCCCATTTTACAGGTGAGGAAACTGAGGTAAACAGAATGTCTTGCCCATGGTCACAGAGCTAGTTAGTGCCAGAAGTCAGATTTGAACTCAGGGTTTCCTGACTCGAGGCCAGGCATTCCATACATTGTGCCATCTCACTGCCAGGTCTGTCAAAAATCCACTGCACCACCTAGCTGTCTGAAGCACATTTAATTGTATTGGTGTAGTACCATTTGTTATATTGTTCTCTAATAATTTTGTGCTTCTTTATCTAGCTTGGGTGCTTCCTGAGGGTAGCAAGTATTTCATCTACTTTTTTTGTTGTTGTATCATCCTGGGTTTTTCTACTATACCAAGCCCCCTTGCCCTCATATCTAAATTCTGTTTGCTGTAACCACCTCTGAGTCAAAGCCCTGTCAGCCAAAGAAACAGATGCATCAGGGATTTTCTTTATTCTGAATTCTAGTAAATAAAGTTGGAGTAATATAGCTATTCTGCAGATCCTTGTAGTAGAGATGCACATCACAGGAATTCTTCAACCCTCCTTAGAGTCATGATGTGTTCTTATGTTTCAGTTGGGATTCCCAGGTCCCTGGCTTTACCTTTAATGACATGTTCCTACGTATCTCCACCCGCCTCCCATCTCAGTACGTCTATGGCTTTGGAGAAACTGAGCACACGACATTCCGGAGGAACCTGAACTGGCACACATGGGGAATGTTTGCTCGAGACCAGCCCCCAGGCGTAAGTGTTCACAACTGGAATATTATACGGCTTGTAGCTATTCATACATATTGTTTTCTTTGACCCTATTCCAGGATAGTTTATCCAAGTTCATGCTCTTCTAGTGAGGATAGTTATGAATCTGACTAACCCAATTATAAATACTTATTGAATTGAATCACTCTCTCATTCTCCATTTTCCTTGAGACCTTAAACTTCCCCCAAGGAAGATTATGGATCCAGCTTTCTGATGCATTGTCCTTTGTGTTTTTTTGTGTGTAAACCATGACTGATCTCTTTTCAACTGTTGACCTAGTATAAGATGAATTCCTATGGTGTGCACCCCTATTACATGGGTCTGGAAGAGGATGGCAATGCCCATGGAGTGCTCCTGCTCAACAGCAATGCCATGGGTAAGATGGTGGCTTCTTTTCTGACCTCACTTAACTTAAGAGTTCTGAGAAGTTTCTGAATAGGACAGTCCCAGCAGAACTCTAATTAAGTAAAAATCAGTGCTCGTTTATTAAGCTCTTGATATGGACAAATCACTAGAGTAATCATCAGGAAAGACAAAGAGAACACATGGTCTGTACCCTTAAGCTGTCTTTAATCTAAAAGTGGAGACAAGATATGTATAGAAATAACATGTAAAAATGTTTATACTAAGGAAAGAAAGGAGGTATGAACAAGGGATGATAACAATTTAGAGAAGGGAGAAAACACTTGGCTCCTAAGGAGTGAGGATCTAAGAGGAATAAAAGAACTGAATAGGTGTCTTGAAGGGTAGGGTAAGATTGAAGATGAGGAAGTGTTGGAAGCATGAGAAAAAAGGATACTTTAGACAAAGAATAGTGTGTTTACTGAGATTTTTTTTAAAATTTTTGTGAGGCAGTTGGGGTCAAATGACTTGTCCATGGTCACACAGCTAGTAAGTGTCAAGTGTCTGAGGCCAGATTTGAAATCAGGTGCTCCTGACTCCAAGGCCAGAGCTCTATCCACTGCACCATCTAGCTGTCCCCATTTTTA